TCTTTTTCATAAGTTCCAAATCTCTATCCCTTACTTATGTGGCTCAGTGCTACATTGCCTAATGAGTGGCGCTGGCTGCCCACAACCTCGGCGTACAAATTCGATGCGTCCGCACCAACACATTCTGCCCCTTGCAGTTTCTGGGATGTGCACCACATTAATGTCCATTGCAAAGATGATATGCCATCTGTTTTGTGCTAAATGAGGCGGCCAATAGCTTCACGAAGATGCCTTAAAAACGTTTGCTCTGACCAGCAGATGTACATCAATCAAATCTGTCATGTTTATGTGACATACATAGACTGCCGAGCAAATATATTCATAACAAGGCAAAAAGCTATACATTAGATCTCGAGATCATCATCCGGATCGCTCTCGTCAATATCGTCTGCTTCATCCGGCGTGTAAATAATACGACCACCCGCTCGAATTTTTCGATCCTTTCCCGCATGCAACCCGACCAATCCTATAACAAATTGCCTGGGTGCCGAAGAATCAGTTTAGACTAACGTCCAGTAATAGTCATTTTTCTTTCTGTTCATGAACTGTGATCGATCAAAAGCAGCGTAAGGTTGAAGATCCCATATCGCCCAAGTAAAGCGTAAGCAGGGAGATCGCCAATAGCTCAAAGGAGCGAAGACAGAGAAACGGCATAGATGTACTTTTGAAAGGCACATTCTCTCGTCAGAAGTGTTTAGAATTCAACAGCATCCCTGGTTGCGCCTATTCCTTTTCTTCTTACACATTTCCCTTTCCTTCGGCCTAGTGAGCTAGGTGTCCTTTAGAGAGTTTACGGGTTGGGCTCCTGAAACGATGAATTCCAACTATCTTCGCCTAAATCGACATGTGCACTTTTATAGCTCCGTGTTGAAGCAGAGTAAAATTTAACATAAAAACCTCATTTCATACGTATGTAGGCGGTATTTTTGAAGTAATGAGTTCGAATTTTTCCAGCACCTTCACCTCATCATCACACAGATAGTTAGCACACAGTCTAGAATGCTTAAATGTGATTTTTCATTTCATATCTTATCACTTCAACTATGTTTGCCCCCTTGCTATACGCAGCGGTAAACTAGACATTTAACTCTAATCATTATTTACCTGAAACACATGGAACAGTACTTGGCTAATGGTCTGGTTTCCTACCTTTACTTCTCCAAGTCACCCCAAATGCTACTATCCGCACCCAAATGATTCATTTTAATCTATTTACTTTGGTTTCGACTGAATCTCAAAAAACTGATTTCGACTGAATTTTTCCAAATGCAATCTGGCTACTTTCGATCCAACGTAAAGCACTGAAACGCGGAAGTCGCCATATCTAGGAGATCAAAATTCAAGTGCAAAAAAGCTAAGTCACGAAAAGATAAGAAGGATGGTACAGTAAAAGAAAAAAAACCAACCAGGCGGCAGTTGTACTGATGCAGCAAGATTAAATTCAAAGAACCAAAATGCACTGATCACACGACGAAAAGTGAGCATAAAATTTGAATTACATATAGATATGCATATATATAT